CGCGCCCGCCTTGGAGCCACAGCGAGACCTTGGCACCGCCTACCGATACTGTCGGCACAGTGAGGTGGCGTCCATGTGACCCGCGGGCTCAGCATTACTCTCAGCTCGCGCACCCCAGCTGCCAGAAGAACGCTGGCTGCTCAACGCCGCAGCTAACGGGGCAGGTATGGAGTTATCGCCTCCACCCACTGACAGCACCCCGTTCCAAGCTACCATACTAGCCGCCGCAGTCCATCCGTTCGCATGCCAGGCTCAGACAAAGGACAGGTAGCCAGCCTGCTGCTGCACTAACGCACACGCTACACAATAACCGCGACAGGGTTTAAAATATCATTCAGGTATATTGGTTTAGCCCTTTATGAGCAGGTTTTGGACGGGAGGTAATATATAGCCAGGGCAGGCCGTATGTTGTATTGCTTCATAAGTCAGGCTGATGACGTAGCGCAACAGTTGCCTCTCACGGGCTTCGTGAGTTGCGATCACCACGCTAGATGATGTAAACAGACGATTCCTGCCAAAAGGCGACAGAAATAATGGTGTAGTGAGGCCTACAAATGCATCATGAAAGGACGCCAACATATTGTTTGAGCTGCACCACAGCAGAAACGTAGCTGAGGCTTTACGACGCGCTCCGCTGCTACGGCTGTAAGGCATCGCCTGCCTCTCGCACGGACAGGAAAGGTAGGCCCCACGGGGAATCAGACCCCGTACCTCTGGTTTCCCAGACGCGGAATGGTTGACGCAGACGCGTTAACCACTACACTATCGGCACTCGTACAGCAAAAAGCTGCGACTGCCAGGTGACCTACGAGTGTATGCCTCCCTCTACTCCATTTCCATCCCACTCTCTCCCATCCCGCCGGTTTGAAATGTTAACAAACGTTTCGAATACGGGGACCAAGCGAGGACAGAGAATAACACAAACGATAACCCGGTTGAGGACAGGCGCAGTGCGGCGACATCCCGAACGGAGCTCTGGCTTGCGATGTGAGGAGGGAAGGTACGACGAAATCGAGGTGCCAAAGCTGGAAAGCGAGCGTCCGCAGCGACCTGTTAACCTTATACAGCAATGCACGCGGAGGGCTATCTACATACCATCAGAACCCGACCAATCAACTGCGACCAAGCGCCCAAGGTATGCCGCAATGACCAAGCGGCATGTCTCGGGCGGGCGATGTACACAAGCCTCTCAGATGCTCGTGAACAAAATGGCCAACAAGCATTGGGCTGTACGTGAAAAGCCCAGGTATGCTCCTAAAGCCTCGCACGCGATCCGCAACACATGCCAAGCTCTTAGGAAATAAAGCAGACCAGCCAGTTTGACACATATCATCGCTTTACTGACAACTTGCCGATTTCATTCCAGATGCGTTTTAATGATTATGTCCTGATGGGAGATCCTCCGAAGGAGGAGGGGAGCGGACAGCCCGGAGTCATCAGAGTCATCAGCCCGGAGTCATCAAACAAATGATTGGCATCACGCCTCAGGCATATGCCAGACCAAATATACTCTGGAAGGTTTCGACAGGAGACATTCTGAGTAATTAACCGTTAATTGCTGTACTGAGCCTGTCAAACATGCAATGGATAATTTTGTTCATGAGCTGGTTTAGATTCTTTGTATCCCATGACAATGACCAATCACGACTCTGAACAATCATAGTGACAATTAGCAGCTGCGAGAATCACTACAAAGGTAGATTGTCGGTCCATGATGATGATGATGATGATTTCGGGTCAGTGTGGGAAAAACCTCCGTTTTCTGGTGGATGTGGCACCAGGAAATTTTGTACTCCAGGCTCTTGGCTGGAAAGAATGACAATTTTTGTACTCCAGATAAACGCTGCAGTCGCCCGACAAAGCAGATGCCATTTCAAATGTATGAGCCTGAGTATAAGTACCAAGGCAGGCAGTTTTGCTTTCTTGACAGCCAGAAGGGTGCATGAACTTTGCTTTCATAAAGTGAGTCATAACTTTTATTTGATTTCCAGGGACCAAACTATGGAGCACCAAGAAATGGAAACAAGCATCTGGAATCCTGGAGGAGATGGCAAATCCTGGGCGTTCATGTCAATGCCCTTCATCATTGTATTAGATGGGTTAGATGCACTTGTACAAGCCTATGCAACTCCTGAAGAGTGATGACAACTTATGTGAGTTACTTCTGTGGAAACGAAATAAACTGAAATATGAAATGTACTTGTTTTAAGTGCCTACCACTGTCACATACCTCAAATGTCATAACCTCTGGGGAAAATATATGGCGCATCTGAGTAAGACCGCATTCTCCACGACGCACACACCTACCGATACCTTTTCAAGAAACGGACAAGCATATCACGGCTCTGGCTCCCACCACGCGACGAACCCCTCGCCTCCCGTACCCGAAACCACCGGCAACTCAGCCTCCTGCAACTGACGAGCGCATTTTCGAGCAGTGGAGGTCCGCGTCGCAACAGACACCTACAATATTCGTTGGACCAGGAAGTCACTAGCATCACTAAAACCACCTATGGCACATCTATTTCAACTAGATCATTCAAAGACTCGCAGAGCAGTAAGTCCAGGATGCCAACTATGCTCTTAACTTACCTCATATTAAGAAAACATGTTAGCGATTTTACCAAAGGACGTGCATCTTGCAAACGGTTTGGTGAGAAAATTCCAAAATATCCTTTTCATCCTTTTCAAAGCGCTTGTTTCATTCCTGCTCGTGTCATACCAGCCACCAATCACCATCCAACTTGCAATTAAACTGCAAATCATAGCATTCAAACACACCACATATCGGCACTTTTAAGACAGAATCATGACATTAAATGGTATCCAAATATCACGTTTGTGGGCGACACTTGTGGTGGTAACGGCTTCTTTTGGGTTCTTAAATGTCATCGGAAATTACGTTCCCAAAATGGGAGTTTGTGGCATGCAGCATTCCAAAACTTATTACTATTGTATAAATGATAGTACGCCAACCACTTTTTCAGAAATCGGTAAATGCCGGTCTTTGAAGATTCGGGGATATCTTAATTATTTAACAACGGTATCACGTCTCCAGGCTCAACCAGTACCTATACTTGTGAGATAGAGATGGTCCATAACCCGGTGGGAAAAAATCGCAGTACTTGGTTGCTCTTCTCACAATGGGGCCTATGGGGAGACCCGGGGAGAACAAGCCGGAGTACAAGCCGGAGAACAGCAAGTTTTTAGCAAAGTTAGCCAAATTTAATTGAAAAATTTACGTGTTTTGGTATCGCCCAGACACGGGCCTTCCTCAGAGGGTGTTGAAATGACATGCTATGCCTTAGAATGAGAAATATCTATCAATTTGTAGTATAGGTACTGCATTATCTCGGCGTTGTCTTGCGCCACCAGAAGATAAGATATATTTGTAGGTGGAAAATGGCAACTTGAAATGCATGGCTGTAAAGCTCTATGAATTTTCTACCACAAACTTAACAATTTGTGTTGGTGCAACTGCATAAATAGCTTTTCTTAGACCATTCATCACAGCCTGTCATTTCAGGACCGACCCGTGGTACTTGTACTTGGTTGGGCCATTGACGAGTGCTAGAATGCCATCACAATGTCTGTGAGTGCGCCAGAACTCCTGTGCGTGGCTTGTTTGTTTGTCTTGATGTGGTGGGGGTGAGGGGCCCGGAGGGTGACCGAAGCTGATTGGGATTATGTGCATCGTAGTTGCGAGTTTGAGGTATTCTGCGAGGCAAAGTGGAATTCGTTGTCTTCAATTTTCACGCAGCATGCATCCACACTTCTAAAGTTACATGGGATTTAGTTTTGGACCGCTATCAAGTCATTCCAAAAAAGGTAAATAAATACCGGGGGACTGATCTATAAATGTTAACCACTGCAGGCCGGTGCAGGATCACCTTGTTATAACCTGCTCTACCTACAGCATGGTGGGTAGGTGCGTAGGTACTAAGGTATCTATATACAACATTAATGTTAGGCTTGCGGTTCCCATGTGGGATCAGATATGAGGCTGGCCTCTTTTCAGCCTGTGGTTATAATTGCTGTAACCTCACAGGTGGCAGTGCTGCCATGTTCCTTGCTGTCAGGCATAAGGTCCTGCAGTGACACTATTACAATTTTCCCTGCATAGGATCATAGGGAACTTGGACAAGAGGAGAGGGATAACAGGAGGTGCAGGAAGAGAGGAGGAGCAGAAGTGGAGGAGGAGTGGAAGGAAAAGATTGACAGAAAGAGAAGGTGAGAAACTGAAAGAGGAGAAGGGCAGAAAGAGAAGGATAGGAAGAGGAACACTTTTGGTATGTTTATATTAATTATGTAAAGACCAAAAGGACTACATGTTAGTGATGTTACATACATAAGGCTTTCATAGTCAGTTGCATCTGCCTAAGACTCATTAAAAAAACAGGGTGTGATGCACAGTGGTTGTCCACAATTCAGTTTGTCAGTAAGCAGATGATGCACCTGATTTATCATTTTGATATTGTGTAAGTTTGCATGTAGATAGGTAATGATGTGTAACTGAGGTTTGTATGATGCACCTGTGAATGCATATGTATAAAGTTTTGTTGTTAACCTCTATCTGTATATTTTTTTTATAAACATGTGCCATTAATCAATCTTTGCATGTATAGGTGAGCTAGTAGCACTACAGGGATATGGATAAGATCAGCGTGGCGCCCTCACTCACAAGAAGTGCTCAGTTCCACTTAAATGCAAAATTGCATGCTGACACTAATTTTTGCCAGAAAAACACTGGGAAAATGTTAACCCATTAAAGGCAGTATGTAATGTACTCCAAGCAACGCCCCATTGTGCCGACACTCATTCCACATTAGACAGACCTTTGCCCGCAGGCAAGTTTGTACTCCGACCACAAAAATTTTTGTACTCCGCCACCAGCAAAAAAAAAAAAAACAACTAAATTTCCTACCCTGTTTCAGGTTTTAGGGCGCATCGACTGCTGTAGGTCGTGCAGCGCCCATACTGTCGGTCCAAGCCGGACTTACTTTTTGCCGAGGTGGCGCGACACGTCCGATTTCTTGAACCCGTCCAGGTGGTAGAGCCTCTTGGCGAGCCGCACAGCTGACGGCAAGTCCACCGCCTTGGGGCTGAAGTGGAAACTGTGCAAGCTCTCGATGTCCGATCCCTCCTCTGAGTCCGGCGAGGTGGGCGTGCCGCCACCGGAGCTACCCCAGCCGGCCGGCGCACCGTCCGGCGGTGAGGTGGGCGAGCCGCCGCTCTCGATCCCACCGCTGCCACCATTGTGGGGAACGACGCGACCGCCCGTTTCCGAGTCACCACGGCCGTTGAGATGCGCGAATTCACCGAGCGTCGCGCGAGGCACAGAGTCGCTCGGCGCGTTCACCGTCCAGACCACGCGGCCGTCGCGCTCGGCCGGCTCGCTAGTGTCCAGCAGCGTGTTGAAAGAGCCGCCAGCGTCCTCGAGGCCGGCGTCGGGCGGGCCGGCCTGCAGCCGGTCCTCGGAACGCGAGCCGCGGAAGCCGGACACGGCCGGCGGCGGCGGCGCGCCGTCATCACGCGTCACCAGCCGGGCCTCGCCGCCGCCGCCGCCCGTCTCGCGTGGGCTGGTCGGCGCCGAGCCCCCGCCCGTCACACTCACGCGTCCCTCGCCGCCGCCCGGAACACCGCCCCCTCGCTCCTCGCCGCGCAGCGAGTCGAGCGTCTTTTGCGCGCGCGGCACCGGTGACGGGTACTGCGGCGTGCGCGACAGGTTCAGGATCATGTCGCCCGTCATCGTGAACGTCTCGAAACGCGGCCGCTCGTGGCTGTTGGCACCGTTGGCCCGTGGCGTGTCGCCGTTGGTGCCGGGCGGACCGGGCGGCGGCAGCGGGCGCGCCCGGCCTTTGGGCGGACTGTGCACCAGCGGCACGCGCGGCTTGGGCGGCGAGTGAAGTACGGGTCCCTGGCGTCGGGCTGGCGACTTCATGGCCACAACGTCGCGCACGTGCGCCAGGTCTTGCTGCGTGATGGCCGACCTCAGGCTGTCCATCGTGTTGGTCGAGTTGAGGTACTGGCGCACCTTCTCCTTGATGACGTCATCTGCGGGAAGACCGGCACGGTGAGCCAAGAAGCCCATCTTCCAGCTGGAGCCGCGGTGATTAACACCGGTGAAGGACATCATTTGTCCCCAAGAGCGCTGAAAGAGCCGCCAGGGCCCTCGAGGTGTTGAAAGGCATCACTGAGGCATCATTATCTCGTATCTCGAGTTATCTCGATACAACATTTGTTCGATAAAGCAGCCCATTTGAAGAGCTTAAAAGAACTTGAGCTTATTCACGAGCCATTAACAGTGCCTGAATAAAGTTGCCTGAGGACGCCAGGTTGGTCAAGGGTTGCTTATCATGTCCTGAAAGTACATAAGTATTAACACAAAACCACACCATAAAGCAGAGAAAAGTGACATTTCAAACTAAGACGTCATATAAGGCAGTCATGAAGTCACTGGAGGACACCTTTCATGTGTTGTACCACATTTTGACATAGCAAAGGCAAGCGTGTTGCGAGCGAAAGGTGACATGTGAAGGTACGTGGGCGCAAACTGCGTCAATTGACGCAATTTGTTTTTTCCACACCGATGCAAATTCCGATACTGCAACGTGATTACATGAAATTAAGCTGCATGTTTTACGACCCGTAGCGTTCTGTCATGAGGCACATCAAGCACGTTGTATTCCCAATAGTGTGTTTCCGTGATTATGCATAGCAGACGTGTTCTATGGAACTCTTGAGTGCTAGCCTGAAAGCTTGGCAGTGACTGAAATGGGAATCGCCCACATAATTTCACGTGACAACTAAATAGGTTTACGGTAATGCCAGAAGCAGTGAATGCATCAGCAACATTTGAAGTCGCGTACGAACTATCACTCTCATCGTTAGTTACCTAGCTAGTTAGTAAACCGTTAGCATCAAACAAGTGTGAAGATGCAACTGTAAGACTGAAACTGACACATAAGACTCTTAAAATAATGATTGGCCTTATCGCCACAAACTCCAGTTTCCCGACCATAGTTTCATTGGCAGACCTCGGACCGGCCCGCGCTCGTGCCCGTCCGAGAACCGGCTGCGGCCGGCAGCACCAAGGCCCTCAAGAAACGGCACCATCCAACCGGCAAATGGGCAGCAACCTCACCCCCGCTGGAGCGGCCCCGCTCGGCGGCCGCGCCCGACACCCTTCCTCACGGGCGGGCCGGCCGGCCGGCCGCGCCTCCGCTGACCGAGGCATTGATTGGCCCGGTCCCAAGCGGCCATCGAAGCCGGCGCCCAATCGATTGGGCCGATAGTGTGGCTACAGGCGGGACCGGCCGGCCGAAGCCGGTGCCCCCGCGGGGCTTATGCGGTGCTCAGGTCCGACCGGAGAGCGGACGGACCGCGCGGACGCAGGCTCAGGAACGGTCCCGGCCACGGCCGCAACGAGGGAGATGGGACGGACATGACTGCCAGGGCAAGGACGGGGATATGGATGGGATATGGGTGGTGATAGGGGTCGGATGAGAATGGGGATAAACACTGGAACAGGGAAGTGGACGGGAACGTGGACGGGGGCGGGGACGTGGACGGAGACGGGGACGACGAGGGGGACGAGGACGAGGACGAGGACGAGGACGAGGACGAGCACGAGGACGAGGACGAGGAAGGGATGGGGACGGGGACTGGGTTAGAATCAGTGGCACTCCTCAATACACACGCACAGACACATTACTAGAAATGGAAACAAGACATATAAGCACACGGCCACTAACAAATGTTCCGAAGCAGGCAGAGAACACGGAGAAGCACGGACAGGGAAAGGGCTCAGAGACGCCGGAACACAATGGGCCCACAGACACACATATGCACACAAACACTCGCAAAGTATCACACCATTGTGCACACGGCGATCTGAAGTCTTGGGCGTCGAGTTCAGACCCTTCGACGAGAATCTAGCACGACCCATGTAAGCCCATGGGCCTGCCGGAGGTGTAAGGACATAACCTTTTGAGGACAAAGTGGACCCAACTAGCCGTTTAAGGTTCGGTGAAACTGGTTCTCGAAACCGCGACCGGCAGAAACCACATCGACAACTTCCGTAAAACTGATTCAGAACTCTGCGAGCAGATTTCCGGTAGGCGGAAGGCGTTCACTAGCGTCACACTGCCATCAAAGTCATGCCGATGCCAACTGACCAGCCAAGGCACCCACCTTGCACACTGCTTCTGAACGGCCCCAAGGCTCGGGCGATTTCGGGATCGTCAAATCGCAATCGTATGTCGCTAGGTCGAGCCGTGTTAAATGCACATCATGCCTCATGAAAACAACGTGTGAAAACAGCTACGGGATTTAGAAAGCGCACATGTCGATGATCATTGCCAAACGTGTCGCCTGCTTCTGGTTGACTGTCAGGCTACAGAAATGATCGACCGATGTGGACTGACGCGACGCGACATGCAAATGTTTGAACAGGCAGCAAGGATTTCAACTGATAAAAATTCAGCACGTGCATATACTTTTCACAGGACTTTCACATACACGGCCCGTAATAATTATTTAAATCAAGTGCCGCAGCAAGGGATGATGCACCGTCACCTATAACACCAGTGAGCCATGATCGCTTTTTAACATCTGGAAAGTATTTGCCATAAGCTGCCACTGTACTTTATAATCAGCTCCAAAACACCTCGAAAGCATTTGCCGCGGGCTGTGCGTACCCACAAGATCTGCTTCGAGTCTGAACGTTGTTTTCATAACAAATAAGGCCGGTCTGGCCGCTCGCACCCCAAGACGCCAGATCTGCAGCACTGAAGCGTTGCGACTTTTGGCAAGCGTCTTCATAAAGGCGTTCATACCCAGAGAAAAAGCCACAGACGCGGCGCCTGGAACAAATTCGGTGTCTTCGACATCATCTGTTTTCTTCGATTGAACTGGTCTACTGCGTGCTACTGTGCGTATAGCTCACCAATGCAGTAATTTTGCAACCAAGGTGGGTAAACGTTGCCAACTTTTTGGAAACAAAAGCAAGACGTGTAAAATCATATAACCATTTCAAGACGTCATTATCGTGAATACAGTTCGCAAACATGGATATAACGTCATGACGACAGCCTTTTCAATTAGTAATTTTAAGCTTTACGAGAACAATTTTCGAAAAAGAACTCGATGTCCCAATCCCGACAAACCCATCTGGCATGTGTGAGCACCGTTAAATTTAGGCCTCATAGGAGGAAATGTCCCTTCAACCGGGTGATTGTATGATGCACTCAACAACGACCCAGGTCCATTTGTATCTGTAGTTGAGGCGGTTCATGAGCAACATCCATGACAGGGAAATTGCAGTTCAAAAGACGCATCGTTCGACCAACGATAAACGGATGACGAAAACTGACCGAAGCGCTGTGCAATGCTTATCACCAAAATGGCCGCGCTGTTACCATAACATGACTTATGCCATACCAATCGAGTTTACGATATCAATTAACACAAGTCGATCAGCCCAAGCTTGGCCTGAGCGTGGCACTTTGCCGATGACAGGGTCCGGCCGGGCAGCGCGAGCCATGGCGCTGCGCTGCGCTTGCACATGGGATGGCCGGCACGGGCCGCGATCCCTTCTATGGAGACCCTTTTATGGAGCGTCGGCGATTGCAAGTATCAAATTAGCGCCAATCGGCCGGGGCTCCACCGGGATTCGAACCCGGTCCCCACGTTGGGGCCAAACGTGCCAGCCGCTCAGCCGTCATGCGCAGGACCGCGCCGCAAACGGTAACAAGAGCCGGCGACCTCGGCGACTCGCAGTCGCGTCAGTAGTCATAGCGCGTGCCGGAGCGCGCTCGCGTGACGCCCATCACCGCGCCCACTCCACGTGGCCTTGGATCAGCACCCGATACAGAGTTTCCAAAACACGCTACCAACACCGCAACGCTGCCCGACCAGACGTCTGGGCGACCACCTGCAGCGGGCAATGATTGGCTGGTACAGGCACTGGCACGCGCTTTCAATGCGTTCAACACACGCTGCTGCTGGCAGTTTCGGCGTTGCCAGCTTGGGAACCGTTCTAGCACCGCCGGTACTGCCTTCGAACGCGCACCGCAGCATAGAAACGTGCGAGTATTTTGCCAGGCGACAGGCTCGCGCCGCCTGACACAGATGCTGCGCCGCAGTGTCCGACCGCCGAGACCAGCCCGCTCCTTCCCGGGCCTCGAAATGCGACCTCGAGATGAGGAGCGAGGCCTGGCGCGTACATCAAAATCGCCGTAGCCGTGACCCGGTGACAGCCGGCTGCGCGGCCCCACAGCCGACAGATGCGGCGTCACAGCAGACAGACGCGACGCCACAGCAGACAGACGCGGCGCCACAGCACACAGACGCGGCGCCACAGCAGGCAGACGCCCATCACAGCAGACAGACGGCCAACACAGCAGACAGACGCGTCGTCACAGCAGACAGGCGGACGCCACATCAGACAGACGTGCCACAGCACACTGACGTGCCACAGCAGGAGAGCGTGTCATAGCACACAAACGCGTCACAGCAGACATGCGTCACAGCAGACAGGCGTGCCACAGCAGACGGACGTCGCACGGCCGGCGGGGCAGACGGCCGACCGGCCGCTAAAGGCCCGCCGGCCGTGTCTGGCCTACCGCGATCTCGACCGCCGCACCAAACCAGGCGGCCGGCGCCACCCGCGGCCAAATACGGCCGCGGGCTGCCCCCCCTCGCCTCCCCGGCGGCCGTGCGGGCCCCCATTGCGGCCCGCCGCCACTGACCGGGCCGACCGCGGCAGCAAGAGCGGGGCACGAATGCTGGCGTGTGTCACGACAGTCGGCTGCGTGGGCCAAGGCGGTGTGGATGGACCACGATAGCCCAGGCGAACCGCAAGAGTCGGGGTGGAGCACGGCAGTCCGGGTGCACTGAGCCAGTCAGGGTTGACTGCGGTGACCGGGTGGCCGGGTGACTGGGTGACCGGGTGACCGGGTGACTGGGTGACTGGGTGACCGGGTGGCAGGGTGGCCGGGTGGCCAGGTAACCAGTGGTCTCGCAGTGGCACGGCGTGGCACGTGACCCGTGAC